GGGTCGTTTTGGTTGCGCAAAAGCAAAGAAGAACAGACCACGAAAAGTTACAATTACTGTCGATCGTTCAACATGTTGGGCACCCACTTTTCGAACTTCTTCACCCTTCCAATACGTTTCAAACCATCAAAAACCACATGGGAGCCTCTATCCCACGAAACGTTTGTGATGGGTCAGTCTCCACCAGGTTCCTAGATTACTGTAGGTCGACCACTTCGAGGCTAAAATCTCCGGAACAAAATTTCTCAAATCAACGTCAAACAGTGCTTTCATCAACACTTCATTGGCAAAGGCCTGGTTAATTTTTTGGGCTGTTTCGGCTTTGGTTCATATGAAAATAGAGAAGTAGAAATCTAAAACTTTTCTTTCCCAAACATTACTATCTCTTGACAGTTTATATTATAAATCAGTCTCTCCTGAAAATATACCCCATTCAATTCAAGTAAATATTATGATGGCAGGAATAGAGGAAGTAAATTTTACAATGAAATGAGTTTGAAAGGGGAACAATTTTTTTGAATCAACATTCTTGGAAACCAAAACAGTAGTTTCTGAAAAGTGACATGTATATGTTAACTAGAACATAATAATATATCTAAAGGCAAATTCAGAAGTTCTTTTCACATGGATTTTCATAATTGACGGTGTACATTCGGAAATAGCAATGATTACACCAAATCAGATATTTTGAGTTTGCGGTAATTTCAAAATCAGACATTTATTAGGTGTAATAAAAGGTACACACAAAATAACAAATTGTTTCCATTCCATTTAGTACTTGCGATCATTCAGTAGTTGAAGCTGTGTAGGCCATTGTTCTGTCAGAAATGCTGTTGGTATTGTTGCAGTGAAGTCTTATTTGTATGTAGTACAGCTGTGCCTTCTCATTTCCATTGTTTTCCAGTATGATAGCTTATCCACTTCATTATTGTTGAGTAGGGATGGATCGATATTTCATTCAAGAAATGAGAGGAAAGTTCAACTGACATGAAACTGTTCTAGTAACTTTCAATGTTGAAATTGTGTAGATTTAAGTGTAAATTTATTTTCTATTTGTGTTAAATTTTTTGTTAAGTTTTGTTTTAAAGTGAATCGAAAGTTACCGATTGGTTATAATATAATCTTCCACAATCTCTTTACAAAGTTACGGTGATGATTTTTAAACTTCCATATCGTCCTTCATTGAGAATACGTGGACAGGTACTTGCAACTTCTTTTCTTTCACGTTCAATATCCTCAACAATATGCAGGGAAATTGAAAACTGTGAAAATAGGATGGCGATCTACTGGTGGGAAGAAACCCTGGAAATTGTCTGAACCAAAGTTGAAAATTATGGAACGTTAAAAACAGTTCTAAGACTAATAAAAGCCCTTCCAACTCGGACCTCCGAACTTTGACAACTGATTCAGTCTGTTTGGTTAAATCACCATGAATGGATAAAGCATTCAACAACACGTGCAAATAATAAAATCGTTTTATCAAATTAGGTGTTTTGTTTCGGCAACGTACCGCGCGCTCCGTCCATTTTACGGCCTTCATAATCGTTCTACCGAGAGGACTATTCGCAATGTGGTGGATGAGTTTGAGTCCACTGGTTCAGTAAACGATCGACCAACACCTGTACCTCGACGAAACGCAAGATCTGCCGAAAACATCGCCGCTGTCTGTGTGAGTGTGTAAGGGAATCCGAGGCAGTCCGCGTCGCTCACAAGAACTCAGCCTTTCGCAGACCACAACTTGGCGAATTCTGCGTCGTGACTTGGGCCTGCGCCAGTACAAAATTTAACTGACCCAGGAACTGAAGGTAAACGACTATAGACAAAAACGTGTTCGGTGAATAAGCTCTAGAGCAGTTGGCAATTGACCCTAATTTTCATTGAAAAATCATCTCCAGCGATGAGACCCATTTCTGGATGAATGGCTACGTGAACAAACAAAATGGGAAATGTTCCTCCTGACGAAAATCAAGTAGTTTTCATAAAAGAGCTCTGAAACAACGCATTTTAAACTTATCGTTTCAACATTTTTCTCTAAAAAATTATTTGAATACTCAAGAAAGAGGAATGAAATAATGCATTCAACATTTAAAGGGATTCGTTTCTATTTTACCATTTTGCAACATCGGTTATTGCTAATAAAGGACAATGAATGTGTTACCTGTATGAGACAAACGAAGTTGACATATTTCAGAGGCGTGCTGTTCTGTTTATTTATGTTCCGAGTTCTGAGACATTCTGTGACATATGACATTTTATGCACCTAACCTATCTTCCTCTATATAAATAACAAAACAACTGTTGTTTATGTGGCTTGCGGCTATAATTTATATTTTGCCCTAAATGTTGATTTATAAAGATAGTTTTCCTTTTTTAAAGTAGAATATCTAGGTACGTATAAATTATTTCAACTTGATATAGGCGCTGTTGCCAATATGTGAATTAGAAATAAATCCCTTTGAAAATTAAAACCCAACATTTGAAAAACCCAAATTGAGGAACATTCCCCATTGTCGAATTTGGGATGATACCAGTCCACATGACATCAAAGCGTCCAATGCATCCCGAAAAAGTCACTGTTTAGTGTGAATTTTGGGCTGGCGGCGTCATTGGTCGACATTTCTTCGAGAACGACGTTGGGCAGGTCATCATTGTCAACGACGAACACTATAGGTCGATGATTACCAACTTCTTTTGCCCTGAATTGGAATATTTGGGCAGCGCTACGTGCCACACACCTCATGCCCTATTGGATAGTCTGCAAACCGTTAGACTTTTTCTTGTGGGGTTTTTTCAAGTCGAAGGTGTATGCAAAAGTACTACTCAAAGAGCGGCACTTTTGAGAAGTAGGAAACCATCAAATAAAATTTCCTTGTGTGCCAATGTCAGGTTTTTAATCTTTTTAACAAACTCTTTCATGTTTTTGATGACAGTGTGTTCCCATATGTGGGATATTAGAAGTTAATCCAAGTGTTTTGTCAGTTCATAGTTTAGGTCACCAGTGTTAGATGTTACAGTCTTGGTAATGTATTGAACACATTTTGATCCGTTGGTGACTTTTTTGAGTACCTAGTACCTAGTAGATCGTCCTGGATTATCCTGTAGGAGGAAGGGTTCAAAAGTTCTTGAATTCACTGATTGTAGTCCATCATTTCATGATTACCTTGCGTTGTTTTTTGCCATTTTCTGCATCATCTTTCAGTAATTTGAATACCCTTAGTTCATCTCCTGAAAGGTACAATCATGTTTAGGATACCGGTTTACTCAATTTTATCTCCACGTCTTGTTCTTTCAATTATTCACATAGGTGCTCAGGTATTCCTGAATTAGGAGAATTTCTGAAAGAAATTGAGTTGAGTTGACTTCATTGTGTATTCATCATTAAGTTCGGTTATTTTTCATATGTCTTTGGTCAATATTTGAGTTTCTTTTGCTGTTTGAAATTCTTTTTTAATGTATTCATTTTCCTTTTAGTTGGAGTAATATTAAGAAGAATGACATGACAACTGACAATAATGGCAAATACACAAAGTAGCCAACTGGGAAAAGATAAATGTGCTCAAAACGAAATCATTATCGACTCTGTTTTGAAGTCAGGAACATATTTTGTTTTCAAAATATCGTTTCGTAGTACAAAGTTTGTGGAAGATCATATAACTAAAAAAAAAGACATGACGTCCAGTTTTCCATGAAAATAACCTCCAAAATAAATGATGATTTATAAGAATTATTGAAAACTATGGATTCTGTATTGGTTTTCAATTTGTACCCTATATTTTCGAACAAATATTCTAGCATTAACTCCTAATCGAAAGTTAATGTACATTGTACATTTTAATGTTCACTACAAAGGTCAAAACGGTAACTCATTTGGGTCAACCTAGTTCTTACATAGTAAAAGTGTGAACAGGACCTAAAACACCTATAATAACTTGAGCATACATATCAAAACTAATAAAGACTAGAGTTTGAAGTCAGATAGTAGGGAAGTTCATGAATTGTATGTGGATCATAGCCGATTTTCTTGCATACGTTAATTAATATCTGAGAACATTAAAAGATAATAAAAATAGTTTCCAGAAAGGAAAAATCAATTCAATGTATGCTACTCGTCTCCTTGACGTGGGTATGAGTTGACTCATGGATTCAAACCTCTTCAGTAAATTGATAGTGTTAGCCTAGTGACTCAACCCATACAAAGTGTAGATATTATTCTTAGAATCTCAATAAGTAGAGAGGTCGAATGCCACATCGTTTATTGAATCTCTTTCCAATGGTAACCTAATTGTTAAACAGCAATTTCCGAAAAATTCAAACTAATCGATTCTCCAATCCTTGAGTAGCAGAAGAAAAATCATTCATTTTTTTTTGTTGTTACTTTTACAAAATTAACTTTGATTTGTGAGAAACTTAACCTTTTAAGTAAAGGAAGTTGAACCTGGTAATATCGAAGGCTTCCCATTTCCTTTCCTTATGCCAATCCGTGTATGCGGTTGTTATAATAATTAAGTGGTAGAGCATCTATTCTACTGTAAATCCAAGAGATTCTCCAGTGAAACTAAAATAACTTTAGCGTTAATTTGGGTTTTCTTTCAGTCCCACCACTTCTGCTACAGTTTGTGACGAGATGAATCCACAATACGTTGAATTGAAAAAAAAATCAAAAGCTGCTTAGCCAAATACTACTTCACCTCCCTTCCAATTTAAGAGTAAAGTGTCTAATTCACTACTCCTGGGGGTTGAATCGCGAGGTTTAAAAATATTTTCGAAACTTTATGTAGTTTCCTGGAAGGAAACTCAATAAAGTGGAAGTATTGAAATTGATAACCTGTATATAATTATATGTTTCTTTAGTTTGCTACTTTCAGTATTATCAAATTTCAAACGTTGAATTTTATCTATTTCTTGATTGAATCACTGCGTCAGTTGGTACTGGCCAAAACCATATCGGTCCATCTCTACAACTCGAGGCATGTTTCTCACAAGTTGATTTTTTGTTTCAGAACTTGGATAATTTAAGAACCGAAAACCAGAGGTTGAAAGATGAGAACGGTGCTCTGATCAGAGTGATCAGTAAACTGTCTAAGTAGCATAGATTTTAGCTGTTAAATTTCAGTGCATTTTATGTTGGATGACTTTGATAATTTATTTGTTAGAATAATTGAAAAATTACATAGGAACGAATTTCGTCAAGTTTTTTACAACTGAGTATTATTGTTTGTATTTATTAATTATTGACATATAAGTATGTAGTGTATATGAATAATTAGGTGCGTAAAATATGTTGAATTTAAAAAGTTTCTTGTTACGTATTTTCCTTTCTCTAATGTGTGATATAACTGCTTAAATTAGTACTGTCATTGCCATTTTAGTTATATTTAACCTACCTAAATTACTTTTTACTTACATTATACTTACGTTTTTAAAGGTAGACTTTGTATTTTATATATAGATGAGTAGATGGATACTGTAAGCTTCATAACCTCTCTGTTTTTATTACGAAAAATATGTTACACATATGTGAGCTGTTCAAAATATATTTTTGTAAAATGAAATTGTACTTAGTTTATACTAAATGTAACATATTTATTTTCAAACTAATATATTTGTTCTAATCTTCGTCTTGAAATTGTAACTGATTTTAAAGAAATATTTATTGTCTTCATGTGTTGAAAATCATTTGTCATTGTATTATACTTCGAAAGAAAATTCATTAAATCTAGTCCAAAGAAACATTGTGACTCTAACTTCTGAAATATAGGCATGTATCGTTGTTTTTTTTCTTCATTTGTTGCTACTACCATTCCTTGCGGTTTTCATCAATAGATGATATTTTTGCAAAAACTATAAAAAGAGTCGATAACTATTGCAAACACTAAAAATCAATCTGAACATATTTACAAAAGAATCATATATATAAAAATGGATGTTTGTTGGTTGGTTGGTAAGTGATAAACTTCTACATCGCTCAACCGATCGTGATGAAACTTGACATGTATAAGTAATTTTCGCCATTAGATAGCGCTGTAGAACAGCGCCATGTAGTGGTGGAACACGTCTAAGTTCGTTGATCCTGATTCTGTCAAAACATTGGAACAGCAGCGATACAGCAGCAACATTACTACCAGTAGATTATAAAATGGTGATTTATTCGTCCTTCAAAATTCTTCAAATGCATTACATATAAATACAGAATGTTTGCAGATCAATTATGTAAGGGACATATTAGGTGATTTCATAAGTTTTATAAGTTTTTATGAGTCTACTTTAAACTAATGTCTCAGTGAATAATCACTCAAGATAATCGAAATAAGAGCCATTTGAATCATTACACTTTTGCAACGTAACAAGTCGAATATTTCCGTCGTCATAAAAATTGTGTGCTCGGGATGCGATAAAGTCGACAAAAGCCGTTTTTGCCTGGTCTTGATTGGTTGGCAAAGATTCAAACGGTGAAAAAGTTATCGAAGTGCTTGAAAATATGATCTGGGAAGTATAGTGGGTGAAACAGAACTTCCACACTCAATTCATTTAATTTTCGGACACGATTTGTGAAACGTGCGGACGGGCGTTGTCGTGGAGCAGGATCGGACGTCCTGTTGACCCGTGTTTGTACTGAACATCTTGATGTTCTTGATGATCTCGATGAATTTTTTTAATCTTATGATTACTTACCGTCTAATTCACAAATTCCAATAGTTTGTAATCTAATTTCAGATGCGTTAATTAATTTTAATGAGTATGTATTCGTATTTTTTACTTCTCAATTTATGACCAACAATGTTTGTGGAATCTCAAGATGTATATAGCCTGATTTCAATTGCGCCATTTGTTTTGACATGTCTATAAAACTTTTGTTTGTCAAGATGAATACAGATATTATTTTTTAACCGTAGTATGCGCTGGTCAGGCCCTATCCCACGAAGCCCCAATACATTCGGGAGGGCGCGCCAACATTTTCAACCAACAACCACTCCCCACACCGTGGGGTAAGTGATCATTGGGTCCGAAAATCATGTGCCCTGAGCAAACGTAGTGATCCAAGAATGACAGCATTCTGCATCTGTCCGGCTAGGATTTCTGCCTTAGTGCGGCAAGCCGATATGATTTTGAGATTCGAGAGTACAGAGGGCATAATTCCAGCAAGGACTCCAATAATCAGAACAACCACCTTGACAGAGTGGTCTGGATGGAGTATGCGAAGTTCGAAGAGAAAATCTCGATATATTATACATTTTCCCTCCTCTTTTCGGACGATATTCGTCCCGCCAGGAGCTGAAAACTTCACGACAAATATCGTTTTGCTCTGGTGGTCGAGAAGGACTACATCAGGCTTATTAACTTGAATGAGCCTGAGGGTGGGAAACGAATAGTTCCAATAAATTCGACACTTCTCGTTCCCCACAACGGATTCAATATACCCCAGAACGTAAGGCAACACCGTAAGGATTCCGTAGATGGTAATATAGCGTTAGGGCCGCGTTATTTCGATGGATATAGGCCGAGACCGCATTTGCTGGACATGCTGATAGCAAGTGCATTAGAGTCTCGGGCGCTTCGCGGCAGGTCCTGCACCTTATGTCAGGAACCTTTATACTCATCACGCGATTGCGGAAGACTAAGGTGTTGAAGACACCATCCTGGCAAGCCATGATGATTCCCTCAGTTTCCAACTTCAGCCCCCTCGACCTGAGGAAAGCGAAAGTCAGGCGCTTTGATAAGCCAAGGACTTCAATGTTTGTGAAGAAGACCACACGCATTGGCTTATCCTTGTGTTTCCGCAGAAGTGAGGTGATCTCTGCGGCTTTTATATGAGCTTTCTGCTGAACGGGTCCCAACTCTGAGACAGAGTTGTGATCACCTCGTTCAGTGTTTAAAACTAAACCGAGTTCATCAGATTCTCGGGCAGCTGCCTTAAAGAGAAATGCACCAATTCCTGATCTCTAATGGTGGCGGACCATACAGAAAAGGGGATCCGAACTCCTGACGACTTTACATGCTATATCCAGTACCATTCTGTCATGTAGACACTCCAAACTCAAAAGTCCACGGCCTTCCTGTTGTCGGGGAAGTACAACCGTGGAACGGACGATTTAGGATGCAAACTCCTAAGAGATGCGTCATTTTTCGGGTCTTTACGTCGAGTTGATACAGCCCCTCCCGAGTCCACTTCACTACTCCAAACGAGTAGAGTAATATTGGAACGGCAAACATATATTTTTTGCAGCAACTTTGTTCTTCGACGACAATTCCGATGACCAGATCTGTCGAAGTCTGTGCTGATACTTGTCGCGGAGAGAGTTCTTCACTGCTGTTACCTCTTGTGAGTGGCGCTGTTCCACTCCGAGGTAAGTATACGCCTCTCCGGCATCCAAATGGTGTAGGATGCTTCCATCTGCACATTCTCTCCGTAGTCCCCGCATCGTCCTCTTTTGAGATGGACCATTGCACATTTGTCTATTCCAAATTTCATACCGCCTGTGCTCTTCCACCACCCTCAAGGACTGATGAAGATCCTTCTCTCCATAGGCATAAAGTTTAAGATCATCCATATAAAACAAATGGGTGACCTTGTGCCTCCGGTTTCCGGGGGTGCCACAGTTATACTCTCGAGTATTTCTGATAATGGCAATAGTGAGATGCATAAGAGAAGGGGGCTGAGGGAATCGCCCTGAAATACTCCCCTTCTGAAAGTGATCCAGCTTGTTTGGACTTTGGCTTGACCAGATGTTATATGGTGAAGCGAGTTCGTCAGAGTGGTATCCGTTGTTTAATACATCTCATTATTTTATCGGGTACCGCAAGACATCTGAGCAAATGCAAGATGAGCTTATGCGATGCTGTATCAAATGCCTTGAGGTAATCGATCCAGGCCATAGAGAGGTTACGCTTATATTGTATCAGGTCCTGCGTTACACATCTATCGATGAGCAGGTTCTCTTTACATCCAGCGACTCCTTTCTTCGACCCTCTCTGCTCGCATATATCCGTTCGAACACTCTGTCAACTGCGGTGAGTATTGATGTGTATAAAGTGCTTGTAAACAACTTATAACACGAATTCAAGCATGTTATCGGATTGTAATTCTTAGGAATATACAAATCTCCGCTTTTGGGGATGAGAACGGTCCGCCCCTCCACAAACCAATCCAGAATTGACTGCTCTCCGTCCAGCCATGAGTTAAAACCTCTGGCCAGATTGCGGTGGGTGCTCGATAGTTTCCTTCACCAATAAGTGTTTAGCCCATCCGGGCCTGGAGCAGCAAGGTTCTTGGAACCTACAAGAGCCAAGAGCTCTTCGAACGTCATTCGGGGTTATCGGGTTGCGCAGTTCATTGAGCTCAGGCTGTCGAAGCTTTCAACAAAAAGCTTTGAACAGCACTAGGGCTATCATTATCATTATACATTTTTTGTTGAGTTCAAGACCTCGATTAGTGATGACGAAGACAGATTTGACAGATCGAATCTGAGTAATGGGAACTTAGCAATAATTGAAAAACGCTCTTTATATTTATAACAATTGACAATATATTCAAGAATTGCTTATAGAATGTGTCGATAGAAGATGAATACAAATCAAATGAAATAGACAAATAAATTGGTAAAAAATTCTAGTGGTTTAGATAGAGTGAAGAATTTTTTTTATTCGCCAGGGTTAGTATTCTGGTTGCCAAATTTTGTAAATGTCGGTTGTCAACAAAACCAAACCATAAACAACAACTTCAATTGACTAGTGTGTCACCGGTGGAACTAACCATAGATCTCAGATTCAAGAAGTCGTCTTTTCTGTTCCAAGTTTTTTGTGTTCGGTAAATGTCAGATTTGGTTTACCGTTGTAGGTTATGTCGGTGGGTTTACCTGAGTAAATGTATTTGACAAATCTGACAAGTGACATTAGTGATTAGTTTCAAGACGATCAACAAAAACATGAAAAGGGGATTTATCATTTTTTGATAAGAAAATGTTGAATATGTGAAACTATATCAAGGTCTTCTTCATCAACAAGTTTTCAATAAAAATGGCTATGGCAAATTCAAGTGAAACCCATAATTTCAAGGTTGTTTTATTAGGAGAAGGATGTGTAGGAAAAACCAGCTTAGTGTTAAGATATGTAGAAGATAAGTTCAATTCAAAACATATGAGCACAGTTCAGGTATATGAGAGGCCTCAGATTTTTCATATTTTCTGTTGTATTATTTCTGACAGGGTCCATGTTTCAGGCTTCATTTTTAAATAAGAAACTGAGTATAGATGGAAATCGAGTGAACCTGTCAATTTGGGACACTGCTGGCCAAGAAAAATTCCATGCCTTAGGACCAATCTATTACAGGTCGTCAAATGGAGCTGTTTTAGTTTACGATATAACAGATGAGGATTCTTTTCAGAAGGTGAAAAGTTGGGTGAAAGAACTTCGTAAAATGTTGGGTACCGAAATATCACTTATCATTGTCGGCAATAAAAGTGATCTTGAGAAAGATAGACATGTAAATTTGGAAGAAGCTGAATCGTAAGTTGGAAAAATTATTTGGAAAGCTGACATTCAGTTAAAAAGTTTATTACATTTTGCTGAGCAGTAGATACAAGAATTTGAAATAATCAAATTTTTTTGTAATCGAAACGTAAAAAAATGTATGTTTTGGCAGACAGACTCGTGTTGAATTAACCATCTATAGGCTCATCTTTCAAGGCCAGTGATGCATTCGTTGTTCTGCCAAGAATGACTGCTACTAAAATCAACCTCAGAGTCTGTGTTATCATCTTCATCTAACCCAGCTCATTAACTCTCAACCTTTTGATAAGAGGATAAACGTTAGAATTCCAGATTTGTCTAGTCTTGTAAACTACTGAAACAACAATACATAATAATAGTCATCATCATTTTCGTCGTCAACAGCATCATTATCATCAAATCTGTATTCAAGAAACACTTTATTATGAGATTTTCAGTAAATATAAATAAACAAATAAAATTCGACTTCTTTCGATACACATAGTGAAGTTGAATATTGAAGCAATATTGCCTATCAAAATTCTTGGAAACAGAAATACAGTTTTAATTTTTTGGGACTGGTAACATTTTTCTTTAATTTCGTCCCAGTTATTTCGGGACTGATAATGAACTTGAGGAATGTAACTCGATAGAATCAAAAGTTTTTATTGGACACCTGAACATGATCTTGAAAACGATTATATCAAAATCACATAGTCTAAAAATGTTTGGACCCAATTTGCCCATTGTAACACAATGTGATGCATCAAGGGGAAATCAAGGGTGTTGTTTCCTTGTTAAGAAAAAACATTTGGCTATACTTTTTGTTTTGAAAAATGTCACTACTTTGTTTACCAATTTGAGGAATCCCCTGTTTTTGAAAGATTTAGAAAAGGTATCTGCTCAATTGCAATGAATGCAAGCATCCGTTCTCAAATTACTACACTGTCATTTCAATAAAAGGCAAGTTTTACAAATATTGTAATGCCACATCAGAAGGGCCATCCAACGGTTGTTTCTAAATAGGTATTCCACCTATCTTTTTTCATTTGTATGATATTGAAAACTGTGATTTGACTAATATTGCTTGTTTCAGCACCTAACATATATTTTTTATATTTACTGGTGAACAAATTCATCTGAATCCAAATTTCATATTAAGTAATTATTTGTGTTTGTCAATTCCAGTTATGCCGAAAAAGTCAAGGCAATCCATTATCAAACTTCTGCAAAGTTGAATCAGGGCGTTGAAGAAATGTTCTTGGCTCTAACACAGAAAATGTTAGATGAAGCAAAGGAGAAAGCTGCTCAGCAAAGTCATCTGACTAGAAACAATTCACAGAGAATCGTGACTGTTGTTGATGATGATCAAGTACCGACCAATAAAAGCTGCTGCTCAAGCGGATAGAGAAATGAACTACTGAAAATATAAATTTATTTTACTCGAAGCTCCATTTGTGATTTAATATTACTTTTGTCGTTTTATTTATGTATTGATGGTTATTATATTAATATTACTGAATCTAAATTTAATTTATTGCTAGACCCTATATTATGCAAATTTAAAAAACTCAAAAAAATACTATCGTCAGTCGAATAAAGTAAATTGAATACTTTGATGAGACTAAATCTTGACTAAAATGTCAACCAAAAAACTGAGACCGAATGACTCTTTAATTGAACATGTCTGAGAAATATATTGTATAGTTAAACCCTGTTTGCAATTTTGTAAACTGTTCAGTGGAAATTTTTCAATAAAGTGTTACTCAAATACACCATGGGTTTTCATCAAGTACATTGCATTTCTAGGTCAGATAGCAAGAGTGAAATTCTATATCTGATTCGGTTCACGCCAACCTAAGCCAAAGTATGTTGTTTCATAATTTTCCAGAGATTTCACGCATTGTCTTCCAACAGTCCAAGTCTCTGCTGCAAGAGTGTCAGCAGCTTTGTTATCTTTAAGGTCAGTGTGGTCAACAATCCAGACCAGAGACAATTTGTTGAGACTTTTTTTTGAGAAAAACCTTTTCTGACAGTTTGCTACCAATTTGGACGTTACTTGATAGGAGACAAGAGCTTCCAAGGCCGCTGGGTTGTCCGAGAAATTTATTGACTTATGTACGAGATTTGATTCTGCCAATTTCTCCACACACAAATCAATAGCTTACACTTCCACTTAGAAGACGATCAGGGTCTGTATTGTATATACCTGCACTCTAAAGGTTTTCGTGATTCATCTGTGAGCTATCTGCTCTCAATATTTTCTCCTGAAGGATCCAAGCCCTGTTGCTCGGGAACAGGACTGTATAAACGTAAATTTCCGCTCGGAAGACGATAACATCGGTCATTAGGCAGGGTCTGTGACTATACACCTGCACCAGATCTAAAGCAGTTTGTGAAGGATCCAAACCTCTGTATAAGGCAAACTGTATTAAAGCAGTTCGTAGTATTAAGAGCTACCTGCTCTTAATATTTTCTCCTCCTGAAGGACCCAAACCTCTGTATAAGGTAAACTGTATTAAAGCAATTCGTAGTTGATAGTTGGAGGCATTAGAGGACAATTCCAAAATGCAATGACTTTCAGAGTCACCCAGCATCCTGCTACGCCCCGCATAAGTTTGTTTTGTGCAATATACAAGTCTCCATGCAGTCCATCTAGCCTCTTTCTACAGGAAAATGTGGCAGATTTTGAAAGATCTCCTTGCCTGCTGAGGGCAGGTATCGGCCACCATGAAATTGCTGCCTAATGAATTTGTTTGGGGCCCGAGCCCCAATATTTACCAAAAATTCTTCGACATGTCCATAGGGACAGTTCAGCAGTGAAACTTTTTCCAAGTGTGAGTTCCAGGTGAGCTTTTTATCAAGAATAAAACCTAGATATTTCACCCCCGTTACAAATGGAATAACTTTGCCAAGGAGGGAAGTGCAGTTAAATTAACCTCCACTTCCTGATGAAGAGGACTATTACAGTTTTGCTGAGGTTTTCAGGCACCTGCTCCTTCTGGCACCAACTGTGAATCACGTCAGCATTCGGTGGAAGATATTGGAAGGGTTTTTCCTTCTTGTTGAAAGGTTACTCGCGTTCAGCCTATTCTCAAAAGGGCAAGAAAAATATTCCAAATACAGGCGACCTTCTATCGTATGTCACCCATATTTGGAATAACGCAATCGAGAAACATGGAGAATCAAGAGCTGCTGTGCTTGACATTTCTAAGGATTTTGACCGTGTGTGGCATGAGGGTTTGCTGGCCAAACTTCGATGCTATGGCTTGTCAGATCATTTTTGTGTATGGCTCTTCAGCTTACATCGACGGCCACTTGCAGGGCCGTCGATGGATCGCAAAGTCGAATACTTTCACCATCAACACTGGTGTTCCCCAAGGATCCATATTATCTTCAACCCCTTTTTTTATTGCTTTGCTGACGACAGCATACTTATCTCATCATTCCATTCGGATTCCAGGAATTCGGCTACGGAGGCACATCTTCACAGGCAGTAGGAGGTTGCACATCTTAATATGAGAATCTAGAAGTGATTTCGAGTTGGGATGAAAGTAACCAGGTTCAATTCAATGCCACAAAAACCCCAAGTATCGGTTTTCTCCAAGAAGATAAATGTCTCCGAACCGGATATAATAATGTCAGATCAGACAATCCTGCTTTCTGCTTTGATAAGTTTGTTGGGGGTTGAAATGAAAACCAATATGTCTTGGCACAATCATGTCGCTGGAATTGCAAAGGCTGCTTCTCAAAAGCTTGGAACACTGTTCCGAACCACAAAACTGTACACTCCTCAGCAACTTTTGATGCTTCATAAAGCTCAGATCAGACCATCTTTGGGTATTGTTCTCATGTATGGAGCTCCGCCCCTAAGCATACCCTGTAGCTGCTGGATTCCATTCAGAAAAGAGACATCCACCTGATTGGAGACGCGAACATCACTTCCAACCTTGATAGTCTCTAGAACAGGGGGTCTCCAAACTACGGCCTGCGGGCCAAATCCGGCCCGCCAGTGTCATCAATCCGGCCCGCGACAGCCAATGATTTACTGTCATCAATCTGGCCCGCGACACCCAATGATTACCTAATTGTTGTTACTATNCATTACAAATTAAACATAGCGCCTTATTACTGGACTCAATCACAAAATACTGAAAGTTCCATTTTTCTTGAAACGTTCTGCATTCACTGTCGATTTTTCACTTCTTTTCCATACTAACAAATCACACATGAAAACAATAAATCAAATCAAAATACTTTTATTGACGGGTGTTACTTTATTTCACAAGAGTCTAAGGATTTAGACAATGCCAACGCGGTAATTCCAAATATTTAATTACGCCTAATGCCACCTACCGGGTAGCTGAAAAAGATAGTACATAGTATCACTACTCGCCACTAGATGTCGTTAAGTGTCACAATACACAATAATAATTGAAATGTCTAGACTAGTCTAGAAATATAGTTAAGGGCAGAAATTGGCCCTTGGAACAAACTGAAAAAGTCATTATGGCCCGAAGGCTTCAAAGTTTGGAGACCCCTGGTGTAGAACATCGAAGAAAGATTGAGATTTGTCTCTCTTCTGTAGATACTTTCACGGGAAGTCTTCAAGTGACGTGGCCCATTTGATTCCACCAAGAGCGGTACATATCAGAAATACGCGACAGACTGTGGCTGCTCATCGTTTTGAGGGTCAACTCAGAACATCTCGAACTTCACTGTTCAAGAACTCTTTCATCTGGAGAACTGGTTCAAGTGGAATAAACTTCCTTAGAACATTTTTCACAATGGATTCAATCTCTAGCGATTCAAATCCAATGTGAATCGCTACTTTCGCACAGGCACCGCTCTTAGAGCGCCTTGAAATTTTTCCTGTAGTTCTTGTGTTTTGTTCTTAACAAAAACATATTTACACTACATATATGAAAACCTTACATAGCATTTCTTTAATATCAAGGGTTCAACTCTATCAAGATAAATGTGGAGATTGTAATCATGCACGTGTTGGACGATAGGAAGTGAAAATCTATCGTCTGGGCTTGAACCATCGGTTCACACAGCGGTCGATTGAGTGAGTGGAGCAAACCACTTACGCTAACCCAACCGATACCTCATCTTACGTAACATCTAACATCTAAAACGTAACATTAGATGAAAACTCATTCATGATTGTCACTTATCCAAACCGGTGGACAGGCAGATATGCTCCCAAAGAGGGCGTACTAGATCACCTGATATGACGCCTTTAGATGCTTCTGAGGGGATACGTGACATCTGAAGTATACCGTACACAAGCACAATTCATTTCAGAACTCGTGCATTGAAACGTGTGCCATCAATGAAATTAGCCAGGAACATTGCCTTATGTAATAAATGAATTTGTAAACATACTTCAGTATTGCCAGGAAGTGAAAGGTAAATATTTTGAACATATTTGGAGAAAATGAAGTTAGATATAAATACATTTTTTATACAATTGATATTTATCTTTTGTTTTCAAACGAATATAAAACGTATTATTAGCTATTAAAATTATTTTGAACCCAAAAATTATTCAGACGAACGTTAACTTGGAGCAGTGTTTTGTGCAGATAGTATATGGTACCAGCAAAATCATCATTGGTGGTATCTACATCCCTCCAAACTCCACTGTAGATAAATACTTGGTACATGCAGAAGAAGTTGAAAAATCAATGCAAAGCTATGTTAACCACAATTTTTTTATTGCTGGTGAATCACCAGTAGGTTATAATCACCAGTGGTGATTATAACCTACCACAGGCTGTGTGATCCAATGGTAATCTTGGAGTTACTGTTCAGTGTCCTATAAATTCACCGGCTTTAACTTTATGTGAATCTTTCAGTTTCTTAAACCTGTTTCAACACAACGGTGTTGGCAATAGTAATATTCTACTTGATCTAATTTTTTCTAATCTGGAATCAGTTACGGTGCTCCCAGATGTTGATCTGTTACATCATAATAGCATACACCATACCTCCTGTTTCTTCGATATACTTCATTCCTACTAAAATCCTGAAACCAAATCCAAAGTTTCCATGTTGGTATAGCCCGGAACTGAAAAGCAGCATATTTAAAAAAAAATTGCCCATAAATCCTTCAAACAGTCGAGTAATCATGGGGGTTATACTAATTTTTCAAATCTACGAAATGAGTGTAAATTGCTTACCAAGGAGTGCTACCACCTCTATTTATGCGAAATAGAAGAAAACTTAGCAGCTGATAGTAAGTCCTTCTTTCTACTACTCCATCTGATACAAAAAAATGGATGAGAGAATCTTCCAAAGAAAGGAAGGAAGTAATCAATTTGAAAATAAGTAACTCTATACATGGATGTGTAGATCATGCAAAGAAGTAACTTTCAGACACCAACTGAAAGAAAGTCCTCCTGAAACAGCTACTTTCATGTAAACATTGAATTTCACGAAAGAGAAAAAATTCTTTGGAAGATTCTCTCATCCATTTTTTTGTATCAGATGGAGTAGTAGAAAGCCAAAAACTTTCTTTCCCAAGTAAGAGTGGTTCTGAAACGGCTAATTTATTTGCTGAACATTTATCATCTGTATACGTTAAATCAGATAATCATTTTTCGGATGTAAAGTATCATTGTAATGTTAATGTCAATAAGTGTAAAGTATTATTGAGTGAAGTGTTTGATAAAATTTCAAACCTGAAAAATAGTGTTTGCTGTGGTCTTGATTGAATCCCTTCATACTTTTTAAAGAGGTGCATTACTCTGTGAGTATTCCAATACATTTAATTTTTAATATATCCCTAGATCAAGGTATTTTTCCAGATTTTTGGAAATATAGCTTTATAAGACCAATCTTCAAAAAAGGTTGCATTGAGGATATTTCAAATTATAGGGGTATTTGTTTACAGTCTTGCTTGCCTAAAATGCTGGACTCTTTTGTCACAGATTATCTATCATGGGAGTGTAAAAGTTTAGTTATTGATCAGCAGCATGGATTTAGCAAGGGGAGATCCACCGTCACCAGCTTCCTAACTTTTCAAAATACAATCTTAAATGCTTTCAAAAGGGGGTGTCAGGTTCACTCTATATACACTGACTTCTCGAAGGCATTTGATAGAGTAAATCATGAACTATTAATTACTAAACTGGAGGCATATGGCATCACTGGCAATCTACTGAACTGGCTCCATAGCTTCTTAACGGGTAGGTATCAATGGGTTAAAATTGGCAATTACACTTCAGATAGTATTGAAGTTCATTCTGGGGTTCCCCAGGGAAGTCACTGTAGCCCCCTACTTTTCAACCTATTTGTCAATGACATTGCCCTAAGTATTGAGTATTCTCAAATTCTACTATTTGCTGACGATTTAAAAATATTTAAAGTTATCGAAAATGAAATCAATTGTCATCAACTTCAGAGTGATATCAATAATGTTGTACACTGGTGCAATTCCAATGGAATGGATCTAAACCTCGATAAATGCTTCTTTATAAATTACAATAGAAATTATACTTCAATGGACTTTTCATGCTCTATCAATTCGTTAGACCTAGAACGGGTATCTCAAATAAAAGACTTGGGGGTTTTATTGGATGGGGGTTTATCGTTTTCTCAACACATTATAATGATCTCCCTGAAAGCACGCAAGGTGCTAGGTTACATCAAGAGAGTATCCAGAGACCTTTCAGTCAATGCCTTTAAAGTTCTCTACTGTGCATTTGTCCGTTCAATCTTGGAATATGCGTCGGTGGTATGGAACCCTCACTATCAAGCTTATATTAATATGCTGGAAACGGTTCAACACATATTTTTAGGATCTTCTGCATACAAGTTATGACTGTAGACAATTATGACTATGATTATCCAGCCCTATGTTTATCTTTGAACATAACTACTCTGGTGAACAGATGAATAGAAATTGGCTTATGCTTTTTGTTCAAGTTGCTAGCTGGTGAAGTTTATTCACCAGATTTCTTGTCTCACATTGATTTTAAAATTAATACCTCTGGTACTAGGTCAAATGACACCTTTCGTAATGAACACCATTACCGTAACTATGGATTCCACAGCCCTTTATCAACAATGGTAAGGAATGCAAATAAAGTAGATTTGAACTACTTCGGCATACCTTATTCTACTTTCAGACTAGAATTAAAAAATATAAAAGATAAAGACATACACTTGGCCTTATGATGCTGTTTGAATGAGTGATCTCCTTATTCTCTTTAAACTTTAGTTCCAAAAATTCGACAGGAACTAATGATGAATATTACTGGTGCAGTTTGTATAAATAAATAAATAATGAAAGTCATACTTGAGTGGAAAATTAAGAAAAAATACTAACAGATGGTCAACCATTCTTCAATATATACCTTTATGTATTTACAGATTTACAATTCACAATAAAACTTTCTCCAGTTCTTCTGGAGATTTATGGAATATAAGTTGAGGGTTTTCATAGTTGTTAACCGGATCATGGACTGCCTGATAAAGTTGTTTATAAATTGCCAAGAGAACATCGAATGATCTTTTTTGGACTGCTTTTTTATGCTTCGACGAGGTCAAAAGGTTGATCTGAGGAAGTAAAATGCTGTCTGGATGTGCGGTGAGATAGTCCAGTTTTTCCTAAAATATATTTAGGTCAATGAAAAAACTTAGTACACAAGGTGGATATTTAAATGTTTACTTCATATAGTTACTCAAAAAGATGGTGGAATATGGTCAATCAATCAAACATTTCACTTGAATCAGTGATTCCCAAAGTGGTCCAGATGGACCCACAGAAGGAGTCTCAACGGGGGCCTACTTTGGCGTGACCAAAAAATGGGTGTTCACAATTCGTAAGCAGCGATCCACGAAAATTTAACTGCTTTCAATTGTGAAGAACTTAAATGGTGGCTTGACTTCACCTATCAATGTAGGCAGATTATATTTTAAGGAGTTCAGCGACTGTTACATGTAGAAACTTGCAAATTCCATATTCAGTACAACTTGTCGAGAATGTTATATTACAAAAGAAGCTACTCGAACTTAGCACTAATGAAGAGCTGAAGGTGACATCAGAACACCAGTGTTGATGGTGTTGATTTTTGAAGCTGGAGAGCTTCAAAAATGATCCAACAAGCCATATTTTACCGTTTTTCATTCAACTTCAGAATTTTGACCTGCACAGTATCTTAGAATAAAAAAATCATTACTTCTAAGAATGTACTCACCAAAAAATTCCTGAGATTACTCGGTTCCATACCAGGTACCGCAGAAAGAGGACCGTGGCTTCGATCCTGCAAAATTGTATAAATGGGACCGAGGTTCAGATTCGCTACCAGAGAACTAGCTTGTTCAGATGTCAAAGTATCAGTTTGAGCATCAGATTGAGCTTCGAGACGTTCCAGTCGTTCATCCATGAATTCATATAATGACAAACAGGTGTAAATCTCGTACATGCAGTTCAACATATAAACGGCCATGTCTGTAGGAGGCAAACGTGATGCCTGCTCATTTACAGCTCTGAGAAGTGGTTCTAATATACAGTGTGTTATCTGAAATGATTGATAACAATATTATTTATTATTAATAAGTGGATTATCTTGCGATGGAGAATATATAATCAAAGTAATCTTTCATAAAGATAATTCAGAAGAAATAATAGAGTAAGATGGTTTCGAAACATTTGTTTTTTGAATTGAAGGGGTTATATTTTTAGGAGTGATTAATTTTTTTGGGAAAGAAAGTTTTTTGGCTTTCTACTACTCCATCTGATACAAAAAAAGGGATGAATCTTTCAAAGAAAGGAAGGAAGTAATCAATTTGAAACTCTATACATGAATGTGTAGATCATGCAAAGAAGTAACTTTCAGACACAAACTGACCTACCTCTTCACCCAAAAATGTATTTAGTGATTCTTCCTTACTGTTAAATTAACCGAGAAGTTTGAAAAATGAAGTTATTGTTGTTTGAATCCGGAAGGATTCTACTGCAGGTGAAAGGGCTATGAATGTTTTTATTCAAAGTTGTGGGACTTTGGAAATGTTTGAGGTCACAAGCTAAAATATGAGACCCTCGGGTTAGTTCTTGGCTTGCACAAGTCTCCTGGAGGCTTCTGAAAATTGCTGGTAGAATAACTCCACAGATCTTATAGTCATGATTTGAGATAGGAATAGATCATGTCATCCAGAACAGAAAATCCTAATTACAGCTTGGCAAATCTAGCTGGGCCTGTGAATATTGAATGCGCAGTAGATAAGCCGGCGAAGTTGAGCGAGAGCTCATTAGCATCGAGGAACTCGTGTAGTAAACATCGTGCTGGTACAGTAAGTGGAGAAATTATTCTGTGTGGTGAACTAGGTTCTTTGTTGTCTTCGAAAATGCCTTTCAATAGTAAACTGAAACACAAGGTTCTCAGCGGATAAAGCAGAGAAATTGTAAACAAGGTTCTCAGTGGACAATGCAGAGAAATTGTGGACAACGTATTAAGATTTATGCAAGCTGAAGCAACGGTAGATGGAATAAGAATTCCTCTCACGAAGGTAAGAAGTAATAGTGATAATAAGTGAAATTGTAACCAATATCTATTGTATTTTAACTTTGAAGTTATGTTGAAAATAACCTGAAAACAATTGAACTGAGGTTTGTTTATAATCATTCAACTGTCAGTTCTTTTCTTATATTCAGTAAATATGCATCAACAGAAGAAATCCTAATAGTAGAGGCATTTCAGGTACATGGTATTTGCAGTAGATAAGCTTTTTAAGGAAACTAGCTTTGTGAATTATGAAAAAAGTGGCCAAGTGAGCTCGAATAACAATAAAAAGGCGTTTATTATTATTACTGAAAACTGATAACGCTATTGACAATGAAATATTAACAGCAATAATCCACGATGTAGTATAAGGAATATGTCCAATGATTTGAATTTGGATAAAAACACAATATGACGTTGTTTGAAAAAACAAAAATTGAACCTGTTTAAGCCACAATATTAACATGGCAATGAGAAAATAATGAAAAAGATATACAGGCGGTTGGAACTGAAGTGAAACACACTGTTTGAATAAATACTAAAGAAGTTAGTTACCTTCATCATATCTCCCTCTCTACCTTCACTCATATTGGAAGTTGAGAGCATATCTCTCAAAGTAGCAAGCAAATTTGTTATTGCTAAGGTAGGTGACAAGTCTCTAGGTGGAGCCTCAACCCGGACCAGTTTTTTATCTACTTGTTGCTGAAGAGTTGAGAAAAAGGCCTTTTCGCTCCGTTCTTGCAAATCAGTCAATGTCTCTTCTACTAGTCCAGTACCTACGAGCTACAATGAGAAAATTGCCATTATCGATGTTGAATTCCTTGTGGTATGAACTGTCTACCTTGCAAATACATTTCTTGTAATATCTCAATAGGTTAACGATGGAATAAAGGATAGAAGCTTGAGTAGGCACAATCAATATTTTCTCTATTCTCATCTTCAACGGCTGACAAATTCCTTCACAAATTATGGCTAATGAGTCTTTTATCAAAGCGTCAGTTCCTGAAAAAAATATGATATGTTGAAAGCAAGTGATTTGTTGAACTCGCCGAAATGAGACTATACTTTTTTCAAATTTCTTGTTAACTCTCGATCGATGCACAAATAAATATAAATGCAAAAGGATTTGTTCATCTTTACTTCTTTACAAGTTACATACAATAAACATTTTTAGATGAAAAGCATGCAAAAATCTTTATGGTAGGTATTTGAAATGTATTTTGTGAATAAACTTATAGATTCGAAAGTTAGGATCGATTGTTTATTGATGTTTGTTCATTTATTTATTATTATACAGGGTGTTTATTGAATATGTGATAAAACTCGAGGGACTATTCTAAGGATATTTTGTCCTTTGATGATTTTTGATGGGTCACTTTGTTTCGAAGATATGGAGCGAAAAATAATTTTGACAATAACAATTTATTACCATAATATACATCTAATGTTGAACTGTTGAAAATGACTACCCCCCGGTCGGATGCAAGAATCCAATATTCTCCTCATCAACTCCCGCCGAACTCTTTCAAAAACACCAGGATCGTTTCTGATGGCGTTACACCTAGCAATTATCCGATTACTCAAATCTACCACTGGAGCATAAACTAATAACTTTAGGTGGCCACATAGGAAATAATCCAGGAGAATCAAGTCCGGTGATCGAGCAGGCCATAAGTGTGGTCCACCTTGACCAATCCAGCGATCTCCGTGTGTTACTGTTAAAAACTCTCGAACCAATATACTAAATGTGCTGGTGCACCATCGTGCATAAACCACATTGCATTTCTTGCAACCAATGGTACATCCTCCAGAAACTGATGTAGCGTTTGTTCCAAAAAGTTGCGATATTCCTCACCGGCAAGTCTTCCTGGCAGAAATATCGGTTCAATTAGAAAGTCTCCTACAATTTCCACCCAAACGTTTAACGAGAACTGATGTTGAAAGCGATCTTCAAGCACCTCATGTGGATTTTCTTCAGCACAAACATGGGCATTTACTTATGGCATTTCTTGAGAAACTGGCTTCATTGGTAAAAGGAATGAGCGTCAGTGGTTGAGGGATTTGAAACAATGTGCGCAAAAGCCATCGATAGAATGCAATACGAAAAAGAAAATCTGCAGGAAGAAGTGCCTGAACTCGTTGTATATGGTATGGGTACAACAAATAGCCTCTAAGAATGTTCCAAATCGTCCCGTTACTTACTTTTGAAGTATTTGCAATTTTTTGAGTAGAGGTATCTGGATCCTCTTTTATCAAGGCCAGCACATTCTCTTTTACTTCTACCGTTCTTACTGTCATTGGTCTTTCTGTTCCTCCATTTCGGTTCAATGCCCCTGTTTCACGAAGTCGTTGATGTATACTTTGGAAGGTTTTTCTATTAGGCACATTACGATTAGGAAATCGTTCACTATATAACCGCCTAGCTTCCAATGAATTACCATCAGCAAGTCCATAAATGAAATGCATGTGAGCCATCTGTGCGTTACTATAGCCATTCGTGATAGAGGACTTCACTAACAAGACTTTAAATATTAAACATAGAAAACACAGTCAATCAGTTTCAACCTATTCAACACATACAAATAATCATTTACAAGAGTTACTATTTAAATTGAATGTTTGCAGCAGTTTGTAGAAATCGGAATGTTGTTGATAGGTATCAACAGATTTTTTATTACTTGGTAGGTCTAGTGTAATACACTATACTTTTATTTCGAGTACATTGATAATTTTAAAATGACCAAAATTGTAATTGTCGAAATTCTTTTTCGTCCCATATCTTCGAAAACAAAGCGCCCCATGAAATAAAAAACATATTGCAGAACTTATTTATTCATATTTATTCTGAACATTATTTTTTTCAGCCCAACACATCATCCTGCCTATCGTTAGTTTTTGATCATATTTAAAAATAATGATAAATGTTTTTTTACTATAAATTGATGGATGTAGCCATTACTATGTGGTAGGAAATCATCATGAAAAATGAAAATTGAAACTTTGTTTTTCACCACTTTTCTTTCTAACTAACGTTACCGCAGTTTCATTCTATAAGGACATTTTCAAACGTATACTTTAATGTATAAGTATAATGTATACAATAATGTATACATAACTGTATAAGTATAAAGTTGAAAATATATAAGTATAATGTATACAATAATGTATAAGTATAAGGTATACATTAATGTATATATGTATGTATATATAAGTTTCAAAATGTCCTTATAGGACGAAACTGCAGTAACGTTAATTACAAATGAAAGTGGTAAAAAACAAAGTTTTAATTCTCACTTTTCATGTTTTTACTACTAAGGAGACAGGAAGGCAGCTATAGCACAGTGTTAGCGGCGTGTTCATTCTGCTAAATCTGGGGAAACATTTGGAGTTTCAATTAAAAACACTCTTCAGCAAGGTTAGAGGGAAAACACCAATCAAGGAAAAATCAAGAATACACTGGTAACTTGTACAAAATCTATGGTGTAGCAAGGTTTTCCCATTACTAAGAATTAAATGTAACAAAGTATTGACACAAGTGTTATTGATCTGGCAAAAAATAGTTCAAGAGCTTCCTAAAACACCCTTTGATTGAAAGTCAAGAGAACCATAAGATTTAGCTACATCCAGTGTAAGAAATTATNAACCAGATCGTAAGAGACAAGCCTATAGAACAAGAAATAAAAACAATTTTTCATCCATAAAATGTACATTTATGAGTGTTTTACCATTTAATGTTCTATGAAATTTTTCAATAGTCTTCGGAAGGATATAAGAAATAATGAAGCTACTAGCACATTCCTCAAATCAGTTAAAAAATGTTTAAGTAATCTAGAGCCTTACATTATTGAGGAATTTATTCATCCCAAAAGTTGACAAAAATTATATTTTAATTTTTTTTGTGCCATATATTGTTATTAGCACAGTACTTCATCAAAACATATCTTAAAGTTTTCTCGATTATTTTATGCCTTTGATATGTCATAACAATTTTCCATTATTGTTGACGTGTTTCTCAGACATGGGTTCTGCATTGATCATATTTGTTTACATATACTATGTGAAAATAAATTATTAATCTATTATCTGTCTATCAATTTGCATGTTCCATTAAAAAATCAGGTCGATAAAAATTGCACTCAATGCATATTTTTTAGCAAAAGCTCTTCGAGATTGATGGCTCATGAAGAGAAAATACAATTATGTCGAATCAATTATTTTTATCGTCTTCAAAACACCTCTAGGAAAAATAAAAAGTAAGCTTGGCAGAAGTAAATCACAGATGAAAAGTTTTTATTTTCGTATTATTGACAAAATTTCAAAAAAAAGGAGAGAAACAGTTACGAGTTGATTGATATATTTAGGTACAGCATTTTCCATTCGAAGAATTCAACTCTCGAAAGTAAATCTTTAACGTAATGGCCCTAGAGATAAATTATTTCCATTGACTCAAATTTGTATTAGACACTTGATAAGCATGTGGTAAATTTTATCAATATTGGAGTAATTTTGTTCACAATCTATAATTATTTTCCACAAAACGTATAATAAAATGGAATACAATCACCTGAATCACGGCATTTTTTCAGCAGCAAACACAAATTCTGCTTCTCAATAACTATCGCTTTATTTAACCACACCAGCATATCAGTAACATAAATTTGTGAATCATGGGCTCTCATTTCGATGGGAGCTGGGTTGCCAGACGGACCACCTCTGGTCAAAGCATTGACGAATTCATCTGTTATTTTACTTCTTCTGCCAATGCAATACTCATCAATAACATATCTGAAAAATCATCATCATCAGATCATTTGAAAAAGCATATCGAGAGTGAATATATAATAAGAAGAAAGTACGAATGAGAAGTATATGTGAGGTTGTATTTATTTGAAATTTTGAATATTTGAATTACCATGAATAAATCTGGAAAATGAAAGTTGAACTTATACTAACGCTAATGTAAATATTTTGTCATATGTCAAACTATAGACAATCACATATAATCCTGCAAGAGCTCTTTAAAAATTATTTTCTAATTTTCTTAGAATTTGATTAGGGAATAATTAACGTCCTCACTTGAATAAAACTGGCCTATCTTCAAGTCTACGCATAGATTCAGTTATCAACTCTGTCAAATCTTGATTTTCCACATTCCTACAATGATTCTGAGTCCATCTGTACAATCTCTCTAATGCACCTTCCTACAAGAAAAAAACATATTGCAGAACTTATTTATTCATATTTATTCTGAACATTATTTTTTTCAGCCCAACACATCATCATTTGGAGTTTCAATTAAAAACACTCTTCAGTAAGGTTAGAGGGAAAACACCAATCAAGAAAAAATCAAGAATACACTGGTAACTTGTACAAAATCTATGGTGTAGCAAGGTTTTCCCATTACTAAGAATTAAATGTAACAAAGTATTGACACAAGTGTTATTGATCTGGCAAAAAATAGTTCAAGAGCTTCCTAAAACACCCTTTGATTGAAAGTCAAGAGAACCATAAGATTTAGCTACATCCAGTGTAAGAAATTATTCAAGGTGTTTTCCTATCATTTTGCAAAAATCTCGGGAAGTTTTCAAATTGGATATGAGTACACACCCAGCTTAAAAAAGAAATTATGGAACATTTTTGTTGTCTACTAAACCAAGACAGTTGTTATTTAAAAGTGATCATTGTCATGAAATCAGAATGAAATGTGCCAAACTCAGGGTCAAAAACATGCATATAAATTAAAAAAAAAATGAAGTGGCATACACTGATGCAGAAAAATGTAATAGACTTCAAAACGCATGATGCATGGGCAGGAGCCAAAAAATATTTGGTTCTGTTGGAAAAAAAGTTCATATAGGAAAATGAAGAAATGGCATCAAGATTTGTTGTTGGATATGAAAGAATCAATAATATTTGGTGAAAACAAAAAGGTTTTGGCTTTCTACTTCCCCATTTTTATACAAAAAAAATGTGAGAATCTTCCAAAGATGGAAAAGTAGAAAACCAAAAACTTTCTTCCCCAAAAATTAATATTCCTAAAAAATATACTCCTTCAAATTTATATAATAATACTTTGGAAATGATGGGACCATCCTCAAATATAGCTATTCTGCATAAACAAATGGAAATAACGAATCTACAAGCTAAATTAAATTATCTAATAAACGTCTCCCTCTATTATTATTTCCTCGAATTCATCACATTGTCACTGATATCAGAGAAGATTTGGCAATACACATGGACTGTTAAAAAAAAGGAATGTTCAAATTTCGCTACGTACATTCAATTAGCGATATTTTATTTTTTTATGTTAGCACACTCCTCTTCATCATATGTTCATAGGTTTCAGTTGTTTACCATGTTCAGATTGTAAGTGAGAGGTATAAAAGTATTTTGCGTGTTTGGGGCGATTTTCTGCTATAAAAAAATGGAATAAAGAATTTGCATAAAATTTTGTGTGAAAAATGGAATCAAAAGCTCAAAAACACTTGAAGTATTGACAGTGGCATAAAAATGTTTGCAAGTGGTATAAAAACATAGGAAGTTGTAATTCTCATTTTTCATGATTTCCCACCACCTAATAACATTCATCTTTTTTTTTGTTATCAAATACAATTTCGTTTATCGAGCAAACATATCGAAACAAGTGCCAAAATAATCCATTTTTATATTCCACAAGTATATATTGATTAATGATAGATACATTTGTGAAGAATATAACCTAGATATATCAATTACATTTACCTGATATAGAGTCATTTGTTCCATTATATCTAATGCCAAGGTTTGTAGCCCCGATTGCATTAAAATTTTGCAGTCACTATGAATTTTTTGAACTTTATCCAAGACAGAGAAAATTTCGTGAGTTATCAGAATATCTTTTTTGTTTCCTTGTAAAACCAGTAGATCTTCTGGTGAAAGTTGAAACTTGCTCAAAAGTGCTTTCAAAATATTTTGTTGAGCAATACTTTGCTCCCTGTAACAAAGATATATAAGTGTTATTGATTTTCGAATATTTGGAGCTATCAATGAAAAAATATTAATAACTGATGATTTAAGAATTGATTCCTGATCCATACACCAAACTTTTACTTCAAGATTCCAAATTACTTTTCAAATTTGTTTTAATCAAAACACATAAACTTTCGCCTGCTAAATTTTTGCTACCTTTTCTTTAGCAATGGTATGTATACGACCCAATTTAACAATTTTGATCCACATTATTGAAGTAAAAGTAGAATATAAATTAAAAGTTTGGTATATGAATTAGCCATGAACCTTTCACGTTGCAAAGCACTTGTTTGTTGCAACAGTTGTTTAGTTTGTGTTTTAGAGTTTTGCAAGCGTTTAGTCATTTCCTTGATAGATTCACTCATTTCTGCTACATCACTATAAACAGAATCAAAAGATTGCTTCACTTCAAGAAATGATGATAAAAATTCCTTGTTGATATCCAAACTACGCTTCTCAATTTGACTTCTCAAGTTCCTGCGAGCCTGAAGCGTATTTTCTGAATAAAATGTGGATAGTTGTTTTAGTGCTTCCAGTGTTTCCTAAAAAAATAAAATCACTCACTATATATTAAAGAAATATGAATATATTGTGAAAACTTTACTTGATCATTTTCAATTCTTGTCTGGATTATTTTGCTTAGACGTTTCGAAAGAACGTGTTCCTTTTCCGCACCTTTTTCAGAATTCATATTTATTATTTTCACATCTGATTAAATTGAATATTTTCCTTTACTATTATTGCCATCATTAATTTGAGGTTAGCTATTTGACACTTTTGACGTTATTAATATATGAAAGCTATTGTCAAAATTATAGGACGCGAGCGTGCACATTCAAACTTCTGTGTGTTCAGTGAAATCTATTGAAAATGTATCAACAATCTTGCGAATTGGTCTTTAAATTCGACCTCTATATGACCTTCACAAGGTCGAAAAGGTGACTATTCTGTGATTCAGCTTAGAAATTTTGACATTTTCATTCGTGCCGGTGAGCTGGTAAAGTGGTAGTTTTGAGTTTTTAAGAAAAAGTGAGTTTTTGAAAGCCATACAAACTAAAAATATTCATTCGTATAACTTCTCAAAATTTCTGAATATTAATCAAGTGGTATATTTGAGAAATGATAGAATCTCACTAAAACAGTAGTGTGCCCTGCTATGTCAGAAACCTATGAAAGGATTTTTATAGTTTTCAACTTTTTTATCAGAGATATTACCTAACCTCTAATTTACTTATGCCAATTTCATAATTTGCTTATAAATTTCGTAGATTTTTTATATTGAAAATGCCTCCTCTGACAATATTTCGATTTTTTAGAACTTGCACAGAGATGCCTATCAAAAGCGTTTTGGCCCGTAATATTTTCGACTCACGGGGAAATCCAACTGTGGAAGTTGACCTGGTCACCGATTTGGGACTTTTCCGAGCTGCTGTCCCTTCTGGTGCCAGTACTGGTATGTTAACATTTCTCTTTAATTATGTAGCAAATTGTAGTCCACAATATATTTAATTGTTTATTCAATTGTAAATTGCAAACAAAATTTCAATCACAAACTACACCGAACGATTTGATCTTCACAAACTTTGTTTTGAAAAATATCATGACATGTTTTGCTTTCACAGTAGCTTTTTCGTAGTGAATAACATACATATACGTTTCTGGGCACATATTTAGAATGAAATTTGAAGTGGAATATGTATGTTGATCAGATGTATAAGAGACTCAATAGAAAATATTAATGGAGTTTTTTCCCAACACCAAATCGTTATTTTTAACACCTCGACACGTGTTTTGATCACCAAGTGATCATCTTCAAGAGGAAGAATAAACTAGAAAACTTGCGAAGCTAACCCTATTTATGCTATACAGATATACCATACAGGTATACCACACCTTTGGTGTCTTAAATTAATTTTACAATTTTGTAAAATTAATAGATAAGGCAAATTGTCTATTAATTTTACAAAATTAATTTAAGACACCAAAAGTGTGGTATACCTGTATGGTATACCTGTATAGCATAAATAGGGTTAGCTTCGCAAGTTTTCCAGTTTATTCTCCCTCTTGAAGATGATCACTTGGTGATCAAAACACGAGTCAAGGTGTTAAAAATAACGATTTGGTGTTGGGAAAAACCTCCAGTAATATTCATTACTACACCAAAGGATCCAAACAGTGCATCATAAGTACTCAATAGTAGTTATTATGCAATTTTGCAGTTGAAAAATATATTCACATTAGAGCAATCAATAAATGTGAACTTTGCTCTCTCATATTCACATATTTCTTATAATATTGTCCTTTGGGGAAGTACGGCCAATGTTCGCAGAGTTTTTTAGGTATACCACTATAATTACGTACTACCCCGTAATAATGTACTTTTACCTTTTTACCAAAGTACTCTCATTTTTCATATCTTTGTCAGTACGATCAACTCTTTGGATAATAAAATCTATTTCATATCTTTTTTATTATTATTTATGATATTGATCTATTTTGATGCTATATTTTTATTACCCAGGTGTCCATGAAGCCCTAGAGCTACGTGACAATATCAAAAGTGAATACCATGGCAAAGGAGTTCAGAAAGCCATTGACAATATCAATAAAATCATTGCTCCTGAACTTTTGAGCGCTGGGCTAGAAGTTACTCAGCAAAAAGAAATAGACGAGTTCATGCTGAAGTTGGATGGAACTGAAAATAAGTCTAAACTTGGTGCCAACGCTATACTAGGAGTTTCTCTAGCCGTAGCCAAGGCAGGTGCTGCTAAGAAAGGAATTCCTCTGTACAAACATATTGCTGATTTGGCTGGCAACAAAGAAATAATTCTTCCGGTCCCCGCCTTTAATGTGATCAATGGTGGATCACATGCTGGCAACAAATTGGCTATGCAGGTGAGAAGAAATATATGAAAAAAGTTTCATAGTTTTCAGTCATTGGTAAAAAAACTTTGACCACACTAGAACTGAATAATGTCCCCGGCTCGTGGTTGGTCAACTAAATGGGCTTGTTTCATGCTATGGAAAATGATTCTGGTTTGCTCATAGACTGATCGTGTTAGGGGTATATTGTACTTATCAAGCCTAATCGGTCCCAACAACAATTTGAAAAGCAAGAATTTAAATTGGCCGCGTGTCTGTTGACCAATAAATTTGATCGTGTCTAGAGCGGAGTTGCCAAGCTCGTAATATCCAATCATAGATCTGATGGTACAATTTGATAGACGCCATTTTTGTTGTTATTGTTGTCAACATGGTGTGAATACAACCGTTACAATTATCTAATTAAATTAAAGTTGATTTTATCATAGGATTAATGGTATTACTTCTGAATGAAGCTTTTATTGATTCAGTTCGAGTACAATCAATTCTGTCTATACTTGACCTCATTCAACCTTCCTATCAAGTTTTGGAAGATTCAACAGATTACCCAAGCGAGCCTAAAACGATTGAATTTAGTAGCAATATTAGAAAGAGGCAGTGATGTATAAGATACCCTCTACAAAGTATCTGAAATACAAGATGCAAGATACTTAAAAAAAAAGCATTTCAGATACCAGATACAAATAATTTTCTAAAAAGGTATTTGAAATACTAGATACAAAATACCTGTCTTTCAAATACTTTTCAAAGATAAAATACTTTTGTAAGAAAACAACATTTAATTGAACTGCCAAGTTTATTTATTCAAGAAAACAATTTTCGATAATATAGGAAGGTATGTATTAAAATTGAAACTTTATTTTTTTTTATCTTTATTTTTTAGTTGAGATTTCAGTAAAAGTAATTCCTCAAACATATTGTCGCTCATCTTCCTTCTATGAGGCCTCATGATCATGCCACTAAAGGAAAAGAGTCGCTCCACAGGAGCAGAGCTGGGCAAACAGGTGTTATATTATAGGAATATTTTTTTTATCGTAGGAAAAGCATTTAAGCTCTTAAAATTTGCATATTTATTGTTCAGGTACTGGAGTGTCTCTAAATCACTGGTGCTGCTTGTGTTTTCGCCACTAGCAATAGAGGAATCAGAGACCTCTAGAAACATATAATAAATATCACCTTCCACATTCGATTTTTAATAATTAATTACGGGAAAACTACGGTACTTAGAGAGCTGAAACAAAGTGCACTGTTTTTCAATTTGAAATTTCTATCGAGCGATCAATAAACCAAAAATCATGAAACAAGCCCATTAACATAATCAGGAAAGTGACTAAAATTAAACATAAACAACTAAATTAGAACCTTTTATATAACTTTACCTTTGGTAATGTTTCATACTGTTTTTGGGTTTATAACCTTCCACAATCTGAAAAAAAATAAAAGATAAATTGAAAAGTTCAGCCTGAAAAGTTACTGCGTAATATAAACTACTGGAAACTTATCAAGTCCTTTATAGAATATCGATGAGTTTCCCATTTTACAATTAGGGAGGTGAAACATATTACCTCTAGTAGTGTAGTTGTGTATTTGGGAGTTAATTGTAGTAAACTCACTTAGATAATCTGGAAGTAGCTTTTGTAATATCTTCATAACTAAAAATCATTAATTTATAAAATCTGTTTTTCACTGAACTCATGTTCACAGATATATCATGCTCTCTCAACCAACATTTTAATTATCCCTCTCTTTTGTTGTGACTGGTGGTTAGAGTTTATTCAGGTACCCGTCTATGTGTACGTTAGTTTCCTTTACACTCTCTGACCCAATGTACCATCTTTACGCCTGATCACAAGAACATCCAAGAAGTCTAGAGTCCCTTGGATTTCTCGATCCATTTATTCACTTTCCTGAAAGTCGTAAATCTTTTTGAAATAAATCAAATGTTTGTACAGAAATTTTACTGTGTTTGAGTAATAATGATAATTTTAGGAATTCATGATTTTACCAACTGGGGCATCCTCCTTCACGGAAGCTATGAGAATGGGCAGTGAGGTTTACCATCATTTGAAGAAAGTCGTCAAGGACAAATTTGGTTTAGATGCTACTGCTGTAGGAGATGAAGGTGGCTTTGCCCCCAACATTCTCAACAACAAGGATGGTTTAGACCTCATTAAAGTAGCCATTGAAAAAGCTGGTTACACTGGCAAAATCGAAATCGGTATGGATGTAGCTGCATCTGAATTCTACAAGGAAGGTAAGAAAGTTATTCGTTATAGAAATTCATAAACAATTCACATATATTTTAAAGTGACAGTTTATTTTAGATCTACACGTTTTCTATTCTTACATGAACTTGAACAGATTCTGCCTTTATAGGTCAATACGACTTGGACTTCAAGAACCCCCAATCCGACAAAAGCAAATGGTTGACCCCTGAAAAACTTCTTGCCTTGTACCAGGAGTTCATCAAAGACTTCCCCATCACTTCCATTGAAGATCCCTTCGACCAAGATGATTGGGCAGCCTGGTCTGCCATGACTGCTGCTACATCCATTCAAATTGTTGGAGACGATCTTACTGTGACAAACCCCAAACGTATCCAGATGGCTGTGGACAAGAAAGCCTGCAATTGTTTGCTCCTCAAAGTAAACCAGATCGGTACCGTCACGGAATCGATCAAAGCTCATCTGTTGGCCAAAGCTAATGGCTGGGGCACTATGGTTTCCCACAGGTCTGGTGAAACTGAAGACACCTTCATTGCAGACCTGGTTGTGGGATTGTCTACAGGGCAGATCAAAACTGGGGCACCTTGCAGGTAAGTTAATTGAATAACCTTTGCATTGTTATTATATTCTCATATTCAGATAATGCCAAAACATGAACATTCAAAAATATGAGGTATACAGATTGGATCCTCATATAGCTTTCATTTTATTTCTATTTTAAACTATTGAAATGAAATGATGATGATATGATCAACTATCTCTTGAGCCACAGCAGATAAAATTTAGCTTATTAGAATTTACATAAAGAATATACACAATTCTCATTTAGTTAACTAGCTCTTTTGTTGTAAATTTTTCTATTGAAAAATTTTTTAGACATTCTCAAATTGTGTGAGTTGAACATAATTATGTATATAAGAGGTAGGTTAGAGAGTTCTAATTCATAAAAAAGTGTTAATTGGAGATTAGGTTGACTACTTCTTCAGGTTATTTTTGAACAACAAACATCTTTTCATTCCAAATTGACGGCTCATATCTGTGAGAAGTAATCTGTCCTTCTATGGGAAAACTTATTTGGTACAATGGTAACAGATTTAGTACAACGGTAACAGATTGAGCACAACAACAACAGATTTAGTGTGACGGTAACAGATTTAGTACGACGGTAACAAATTTGTTATGATGGTAACAAATTTAGTACAACGGTAACAGATTGAGCACAACAGCAACAGATTTAGTACAACGGTAACAGATTTGGTACGATGGTAACAGATTGAGCACAACAGCAACAGATTTAGTTTGACGGTAACATATTTAGTACGACGGTAACAGATTTAGTACGACGGTTACAGATTTGGTACAATGGTAACATATTTAGTACAACGGTAACAGATTGAGCACAACAACAACAGATTTATTATGACGGTAACAGATTTAGTACGACGGTAACAGATTTGGTACGATGGTAACAAATTTAGTAGAACGGTAATGGATTGAGCACAACAGCAACATATTTAGTACGACGGTAACAGATTTAGTACAACGGTGGCAGATTGAGCACAACAGCAAATGATTTAGTATGATGGTAACAGATTTAGTACGACAGCAACAGATTTAGTACGACGGTAACAGATTTGGTACGATGGTAACAAATTTAGTAGAACGGTAACAGATTGAGCACAACAGCAACAGATTTAGTATGACGGTAACAGATTTAGTACAACGGTAGCAGATTGAGCACAACAGCAAATGATTTAGTATGACGGTAACAGATTTAGTACGACAGCAACAGATTTAGTACGACGGTAACAGAATTGGTACGATGGTAACAGATTGAGCACAACAGCAACAGATTTAATTTGACGGTAACATATTTAGAACGACGGTAACAGATTTGGTACGATGGTAACATATTTAGTACAACGGTAACAGATTAAGCACAACAGCAAATGATTTAGTGTGACGGTAACAGATTTAGTACGACGGTAACAGATTTGGTACGATGGTAACAGATTTAGTACAACGGTAACAGATTTAGCACAATGGTAACGGATTCAGCATGAAGTAATGAAAACAGCAATACAGCCTTATGAAAATCAGACCAAATCGATTGTTGACCAGTGATGCATATGTTGCCTTTAAATTGGTGTACGAATTCATCTTGCTCAATTTTGTTCTTCTTGTCAACCATTCATTTCTGTACTACTCCTGTGCCTAAAGACATGAATAAATTACTTTTTGATGGTGTCAGGAGTTTGTCATCAAATGAGCAACAATCGAACTACATAACCTCGTTAAAGTTAATTGAACAATTATATATTTCAGTATTTTGTTTCAGATCTGAACGTCTAGCTAAGTACAACCAGATACTTCGTATTGAGGAGGAGTTGGGGTCGGCAGCCAAATATGCCGGCAAGTCATTCCGTAAACCATGTTAGACATTTCATGGTTGATCAAATCAGTTTAGCGGAACTTTGGGCACTGCCAAAGAGTCTGATTACGAATATATTAGGAGCTAAAATATTGACACATTCAAAATGTACTATTTTTTAAATGTATTCTTTTTTGGAATTTGAGTAGCTCACTCAATGTGCATGCAAATTATTTATTCTGAATTCCTCCATGGAAATAAATGGATCTAAACCTCTGATCTCTATTTTATTTTTTGAATGTTCCAGTGATCCTTCTTAGTAAAATTCACTTAGTTATTTAAATGAGTGCAGCTTTTGATTTATTTACGAATTCACTAGCATAACCGCATTTTTTGATTACATATCAATAAAAGTAACATCAATAACATAATCCTATTAGTTACTACATTAATCATTCCTATATATCTGATCACACTTTCCAGCTGGCAACTTTCTGCTATAACCAGGTTGACCATAACCAAGAAACTCACAAGAGATGTTTTAATGACTACAATATTGAGAAGTTTTCTAGTTTACTGCTGGAGACTGATTGGTCTTCAGTGTATGACTCAGTTGAAGCAAATTCTAAGTTTGATAGTTTTTATAATAAATTTTCCTATTATTTTGATACTTCATTTCCAAAAAAGGTAGTCAAGATAAAAAAATCTGGTGACTCCAGGTGGATAACTACTGAGTTGAGAGAAATCAGTAGAAGGTTAACCGAGTTATNCAGCACCGGCAGTTGAATGGGCTATCAAGTATTTTCAGCCCTTCAAATATCCCGGAGAGAATGGTATATTTCCAGCTCTTCTTCAAAACGGACTGGAAATAATTTTACCTATACTCACAAAGTTGTATAGAGCTAATCTGGCGTGGAACTATATACCACCCAGTTGGTTGGCAGCAAGGGTGGTATATATACCTAAAGTGGGCCGGAGAGAAACACACCCCAAATCGGTACGATCAATCAGCCTTACATCCTTCCTGCTGAAAGGACTTGAGAGGGTACTGGACGGACATATCAGGAGGGTAGCATTATATGAATCCCCCCTGAATAACCACCAGTATGCTTATCAAACCGGCAAATCGACAGATTCAGCATTAAACAACCTCGTTGAGAAAATCTCCCAATCCCTTGACAACAAGGAGATTGCAGTTGCTGCATTTCTCGATATTGAAGGAACAATTGACAATGCACTACCTAAATCTATAGGATTGTCTCTGGCTAGGAAGGGTATAGAATCGACCATTACTGGCTGGATCCATGCCATGCTAGTAAACAGACCTGCAACTGCGACTCTTCATGGCGAGGCTATCAGGTTCAGGGTCACTAGGGTCTGCACTCAAGGTGGGTTACTACCTCCCCTTCTGTGGCCGCTCCTGGTGGATTGTCTGCTTGATGCCCTCGACAGAAGAAAAGTTGATCTGCAAGCTTATGCAGATGACCTTGTCATCCTGGCAAGGTCCACGTCGGGAAGGGTAGCTTGTAATATCCACCAAAGCGCGTTGGACGTTGTTCACAGTTGGTGCCTGGTGTCAACCCCAGCAAAACTGTGTTAACCCCCTTCACCAAGAGAAGAAAATTGGACGATATAACGCCACTTTCCCTCAATGGTGTGGTCATTCCATTTGGAACGGAGGTGAAATATCTTGGCATTGTATGCTCACCTGGAACGCTCACTTGGAAAAAGTTTTACACAGAGCCAGACTGTCTCTGTGGATATGTCGAAGGATTTGTGGTAAAACTTGGGGTTTAGGTCCCAAACAAATCCATTGGATTTATGTGATGATTGTCAGACCAATGATCACTTATGGTGCAATTGCTTGGTGGTCGAAGACTTTACAGAAAACTCAATGGGCTATCAGTACCATACCGGCAGCGGCCATTGAGATCCTTCTAGATCTATCTCCACTCCACGTTTTTTCTGGAAAGAGAGGCTAGATGGATTGCATACAGGATTGTGCACATTGATAATTGCACAAATCAATTCAATGCAGAGTGCAATAGACTGTTGGTTGACATTGGAAGTCACAGCATTCTGGAAATGACCTCTGACTTTATGTCTCCAACTGTCAACTACGAACTGCCTTATAAAGTACTATTCCTGAGTAGAGAGGACTGGATCTTCCGGGAGAAGGAAATATCAAGAACAGATAGTTGTTGGTTCACAGATGGATCAAAAACACTTTCCGGTTCTGGTGCAGGTGTTTTCAGTCGCAGACCCAGGACAGAGTTATCTACCTGCATAGGAACTTATGCGACTATATTTCAAGCGGAAATTTACGCTATTGATTTGTGTGTGGAGAGATTGAATAAATCCAACTCCACTCACAAGTCAATAAAAATATTCTCGGTCAGTTAAGCGGCGTTGGAAGCTCTTGGCTCCTACCGAGCAACGTCTAAATTGGTAGCAAACTGCCAAAAAACGACTATCCTTGATAGGAAGACTGGTATGGATTTCTGGCTATACTGGCCTGGAAGGCAATGAAGCTGCCGACTCTCTTGCAAAGGACTGACTTAACAAATGTCTATACAAATTTCAATTTGTATTACATGAATTTATAAATTCAAAGCATGAGAACTGCAGTGAACATACAAATATTGAGAAAATGACTTTTGAATAAATATTTGAACCCGGTTTTTATCTAAATTTCGGGAAAGTTCTGATCCCTATAACGCCACCTCTAAACGCTATTTCAAAAGTTGCCTTCCACCAAGCAAGTTGGAGTCTTCTGTATTCGCCATCTCCTGAAGACGTCAACTTGGTTGGTGAAACGTGCGTCGAGAAGAGTATTGCATTTCTAGTAATTCGGAAAAATGCTTGTTTTGGATCCATTCTATGCCAGAGGTTCCAGTTTCACTTTTTTATGCTTCTTCAATAAATAGATAGAGCCAAAGAAAGACATGTTAATTTATTTTAAATATTCCATAGATTGATTTTTTGACAATGACGGTGAAGAATGTATTGTTCATTGCGGGAAAAAATTTATTTGTACTTCTTCGAAAACATGTATACAAACTACAACATTTTTATAAAATTTTCTATTGAAACATCGATAAAGTCCTTGTTCAAAGTCGGAAAATTATCATTAATAATTTTCGTTTTCAATCTCCAATCTCTGATTATTGAATGTCTACTACAAATTCATTGATAAAAAAACTTTAAGCTTTATGCTTCTTCATTAATATATACAGAGAAACTCTATCCCAAACAACTATTTTCCAACAATGCCATTCAATTGTGAAGAATTTTTATTATTTTAATTTTAACACGCTTTTTATTAGCTTCAACTGTATGTATGTATGTTTGTTTGTTTGTCAGTTTGTTTGTTTGTAACTCTCCAGGTCGGGATCTGTATCGACATTATTGCTTGATCTATTCGCGTACGTAACCTCCTTGATATAATTCGAAAAGTATTTTTTTCAATTAACACGCTTTTATTAGCTTCACCTGTATGTATGTATGTATGTTTCTAACTCTCAAGCTCGGGATCTGTATTTGACAGAATTACCGACATTATTGCTTGATCTATTCGCGGGCAGATGGCGCTATACGTAACCTCCTTGATATATCGACAATATTGCTTGATCTATTCGGGGGCAGATGTCGCTGTACGTGACCTCCTGGATATAATTCGAACTCACTTTGCATGTATTTCTTCATTTGAAGAAAGTATTTTTTGTATTAACACGCGCGCCTGCTGATGCCTTACTTGTTACCCTCCTTTGCGCGCCTGCTGCCTTGGGTTTGGTAGCTGATTTTCAGGCTCCCTCTTCGGAATCGGAAGATATCAATGGTCATTTTTCTAAACAATATACGACTGATTGATCCCAAAGTTTAGATAAAATGACCATAGTCTAAACCTTTGTAGGAGTAATATACTACGGTCCTCTCAGTGGTCCCCAACTTTTTCATTTAACGAAATAGACCTGTGGTTGTTCAGAATCGAAAAATACATTTTTCGGTGTATTTGACTATGTGGTCTAATTGTCTATCTCTCTTTCTGTGGTGTGCAAAAGTTTGGCTCGGCATAACTCTTGAAAAAAAAAGATATCGTCTGGAAATTTCAACCATTCGTAAAGAAGTTCAGACTCCTATTTTGAATGAAATCGATTATTTGCGAAAGTTTTTATTCGGCAATTTTCCAAAAACCGTCAAACTTTTATACCGAATATCTTCAATAAGAATGGAAATATTGAATGATTCAGATTAGAGAGTTATGTGAAGTAATATGTTGTATAAAAATGTTTCATTCACTTTTTCACAAAGTTGACTCTATGTATAAAAATATGTGTAGATCATGCAAAGAAGTAACTTTCAGACACAGAAAGGAAGAAAAGCCCCCTCGAAACAGCTACTTTCATATTAACATTGAATTACAAGAAAAAACAAATACTTTCGAAATAAATACCTACTTTTATATATTGTGAACACTGAATTATATATACAGTGCATTCCATTTAAAACGAGCCACTCTGAATGACTTTTAGTGCAATGATTTGCAGGAAAAATGAAAAAAACACCTCAATCATAGTATACAGGGCGAAACATTTTGACATATTCACATTTGATGTTATTTCTCCTATCGCACCCCCAGAGCATATCACCAATTTTTTTTTTCAAATGGATCACCCTATATTGTTTCGTATGAAGCTTATGGTTCGGGAGCTACAAATTATATTTGAGTTGAAAACGAGCCACCCGTAATAACTTTTGGAACAGTGATTTTTAGTTAATAATAAAAATCTTTCCCAAGTCGAAAAAGCAGGGGGGGGGAGGCTCCCCCATGGCGACGGCCCTGATGATAACCCCTTTCAAAAGAATGTGTTGAAGAGATTTCAAATGAATTGGCCATCCATCTGTCACTCTGTCTGTTAGAAAAATGAGGTGAATTTTTATTTTTCTTAAAAAAATATTTATTCAACAATTTCTATTTTGCCTCCTTAAAAGTAGTTTCTCTCAGATATAATACACTTGAGCCAGCGGTTTCTCCCATCCTTGAAGCAGTTCTGATATACACTTTTTGGTACGTCCTTGAGCTTTCCCACCGATTCGATTTTTATCTCCTCAATCGTCCCAAAATGTCGTCCTTTGATGAGTCTCTTCAATCTTGGGAACAGGAAAAAGTCACAGGGAGTCAAATCTGTTGAATACGGTGGCTGGATGGCAATGGAAGCTTGTTTGTGCCATTGTATGGAAATTGGTGGAAAGTTTTTGAACATTTACTATAGAAAATT